CCCATTAGTCCTCCCTCCTAAGGTGCATTCTGTTTGGACCCCAATTCAAGACCTGTAAGGCATCTTTCCACTCATGTCTCCCCTGCAGTGAATGGTGGGAGCAGCATGAGGATGGCTGTTCAAACAGACATAGGTCAGGCTAGGGGCAAATGGGGGCAACATAGGGCTTAAAGGGACAGCCTGGGGTCCCTTGCCCTTTCTTTTTGTAGTTTATTTCTGCTGTTATTTGTTATGTTAAAATGTATGGGTATGGAGGGCAAGTGAAGGGCATTGGATTCAGGACCCCCTTCCACCAGTTCTAGGAGGGAAAGATTTTGAAGGGACTTGGGAGCTGCCCTTGGAGTGGGAAGGGCAGTGGTAAGCCCCAGGGCAGGTGAGCAGCTTGATCTCCCAGGTTTTCTTTGCCTCGTTATCCCTTCCAGGCCTTTGGTATGAGGTCTGACAGGGCTCAGCAGATAAAGTCCTCAAAGAGGCCTTGGAGGGGCAGGGATGTGGTGCAGTGGATAAAGCACCAGCCCTGGATTCAGGAGGACCTGAGTTCAAATCCAGCATCAGACACATAACACTTACTAGCTGTGTGACCCTGGGCAAGTCACTTAACCCCATTGCCTAGCCAAAAAAAAAGAGGCCTTGGTCAGATGGTAAGTTAGGATGTTGTCGTATGTCATCTCAGCTGGATGGCCCTGGAGGCTCTCACAGGGATTATGTTGCTTGACTTCATCCAGGCTGAGGGCTACACCCTTGTCTTCACTGTTCTTTTAGACTCCTTCTGACACTTGTCCTGATGGCACAGCTTGTGCTTAATTATCATATAAGCATAGTTGAAGAGCTCCACAAGTCAGGAAGCTTGCAATCCCATCTGACCCCAGATGTCACCCACATATATAGCAATCTCATAGGTTTTTTTTTGTTGTTGTTGTTCAACGGTCTCATAGTTAAAGACTTCAAAAAATTTGTCCAGTATCAAGATGTTCTCCTCAATGTACTGACCTGACAATGTACGATTCCTATTTTTTGGTCAGATATTTGTCTGAGGCTTTGCTAAGAATCTTGATCATAGACAGCTCCTTCCCATAGCTAGTCAGGATACAGGGCATTTCACACAGAGTAATCCCGGTCCTTCACCAGGAAATCTGGAGCAGGGTCTACACACTCCTTATATTGCTTGCATGTGCAGTATGTGGTATCACCCGGCATATGCACCATGCGGCAGTTGCAGTTTTCCACTGGATAATGTTTTTCACAGTCAATTTGACAATCTGTGATGCTGTATGAGTTGAAATTTTGCAGCTTGAGAACCTCTGAGCTCTGGTATACTATATTCCATGCTTTAAAATCTGACATTTAATGTTTTCTTAAGTATTTTGATTTTTCTTCCAATTTGGACATTGCATGACTTGGCAAATCTAATTCTAACCACAAGCTCATGTTTTGCAGTATTTGGGTACACCCCTCTCTGGCAACCATGATACCCTAGGCCTGCTTTGATCAGTGGGCAACTATCTAGACTTGGTGGATAGGGAAGGTCAAAGGATGGAACCACATCACCCCCTAGTGGACACATTTAAATCTCAGGACCATCTTGTTCCCATGGCATTTCAAGAGCTCCCTCCAATCATTACTTGGGAGCCATAAACAAGTTGGGAGAGAAGGAAAGGATTTCTATCCAATGATCCTGATTCAGGAAATTCATTTGGTTCCCATATCACCCAGCACAGTGGGTATAGATTGGCAAGGCTGAGCCAAATCACCTCAAAGACCATGCCCATGCCTCTGGACTCCCCTGGACAGCCTGACTAGACTATGACAATCAGGATTGAATTGAACTTAGATGTCATGAGGTGCAACCTGTAATTGTACCTGAATCTTCCCCTTCAAACTCCCCAACAAGTGATCTTACAGTTTCTGCTTAAAGGCTTCCAGGGATGGGAACCTACCACATGCATCTCAACCCCTTCCTCATTTGGACAGATCTTAATATTAGGAAGCTTCTCTCTGTATCTTTCCTAAATGCTCCTTCCTGTGACTCATCCATTGTTCTTGTTTCTGTACTCTATGGTCAGCAGGTCAATTTCTTTCCCATGGGAATTCCTCAGATACTTGAGGATAACCATGATGTCCTGTGTAAGTCTTCTTTTCTTGATCATAGTTCCATCAACTGATGGAAATGGCCTGGCCTCTTTGGCTTCCACTGCTATGATTTTTATCTTTCTGTAGGCCTGCTCCAGTTTGTCATTAATCTCACTCTAGAATTGAACCTGAGCTTTTTCTACTATATCTCATTGGTCTGCCTGCCTCCTAGTGTGGAGATGTGGTCTGATCACAACAGAGTACTGCAGGACTAGTAACTTCTTTGTCTGAGATGTGATGCTTCTCATGCAATCTAAGATTGCAACCCAACTACTTAACTCAATCTCTGGACTTATCTCTCCCTTCTTCACCAACTGCCTTCCTAACCTGAAAAGATCCCCTTTCTGAGGTCCTTTCCCCCCACTTTCCAGTTCCCCTTTAGCTGTTATCTGCCTAAGCTCCTCGAAGGCAGAATTGTCTTGTTTGCTTCTATGTGTGTCTCTAGTGCTTATCAAAGTGCCTGGTAACAGTAAGCACTTAATAAATGCGTCAGCTCTTTTAGATGCCATGTTATACTGGAGACATACATTGAGCTTGTAGTCCACCAAAATCCCCAGTTTTTTCCTTCCACAGAATTATTTTCTAGCTTTGATTCCTCCACCCTGAATTTGCACGGTTGATTTCTGAGGCCAAGGGCAGGACTTTAAATTAATCCCTATAAATATCATCTCACTAAATTTTACACATGTATATATATATATATATATATATATATATATATATATATATAGTCTATTGAGATCCTTTTAGATTTGAACCTTTTCATCTGATTTGTTAATTATCTTTCATAGATTTTCATCATCTGGGAATCTGACAAATATGTCATCTATGACTCTATCCAAGTCCTTGGTTTCTTAAAAATGGTTTATAGTAGTTGTGTCAAACTCATCACACATATTTTGCAGATGAAAAAACTGAGGCAAATGGGGTTAAGTGACTTGTCAAGGGTCACACGGTTACTAAGTGTTTGAGGCCAGATTTGAACTCTAAATATTCTGACATCTGCCCTCTCCAAAACTAGGGTGTGTGCCAGATTATATCCATATTGTCTCTCCTCAGTCACAAACTCTATGATGGAGCCATAACTTACTCCCAAGTTCCTGTCTTTTATCCTTCACCAGTGTCCCTATGTTTCAGCAGCAGGTGTAGAACAGGTGTTCCTTTCATCTCTTCTTCCCTGAGCCAGTCTGGTCACATTTGGTCCTTATCCTCAGGGGAAGATGAGGAGAACAGGTCACTTGAGTCACTAGAGACCCTTTCTGGATAAGGTGTTGGCAGTAAGCCCTGAAGAAATTAGGTCTACCTCTGTGTGTTCTTTTGCTGCTGATTTCTGATCCTGATTGTTAAGAATCGTAGTGATAGAGTTGTTGCATGTCAGCAGATTTGCAAAACTCCTCTGAATATTTCATTTGGTGGCAAATATGCCTTGGCAGAGGGCAGCAGGCACTTGTGGTGAGTTAGCTATCAGTCCTGACCAAGCTGGCCAGCTCCTGGTTCAACTTTATGTCTATTGCTACCACATGGCAGAATGAGGAGACAGGCCTTGACCTGGGCGACTTCACAAGAGACTGTCACGTGCCCTTCACTATAGCCTTGGTTTTTGTTCTCAATTAACTTCAGTGAAGCAAGTTCTCATTAGCCTGAGCTGTATTTCTCTGTGCCTTGAACCTCAAAATGAGGCTTTGGGAGAATGAAATGATCATTAAAGCAAGTCAAGAATGTGTCAGCTGTTCTGATGTGGGCTTGAGAAGGAGTTCCTGGGAGCTCTCAGAGAATCCAAGGAAGTCCTCATTTGGCATTGTAGTGTACTTCCAAGCCATATTTGGGTTTTGTTTCCTGAACTTTTTATCTATCATCTTCTGGCCCTGTTTCCTCTTTTATTCATCCATGACATTCTTATCTGCTTTTTTTTCCCCTTTACTGATCCCCAGCAGGAGGCTCTCCATCATGTTTTCTCCCTTCTGTTACTGGATTTCCTCTAATGGTTATTTCTTTTTAATATGCAATGCAACTTTCATGGAAGTTGGGGAGGAAAAAATCACCCATCCTTTAATCATAGTGTCCTTATTGACAGGATGTTATAATGAAGACATCAATGGATTAAGATTCAGACCATCAGAGTTTGAATCTCATCTCTTGTGTACTAGTTGTGTGATCTTGGGGAAATCACTGAACCTCTTTGATCTTCCATTTGTAAAATGACCAGTTAACATAAAATGACAAGATTTAAATAAACGATGTATAAAATTTCTTCCAATTCTAAATTACTAGGATTCTGTGATCTCCCCATCCTGCAGGCAAATCACTTTTCCTTTCTGACCTTCAGAATTCTTACATATAAAATGATGATGGGAATATGTGCTACATAGAAAGTATTAGTGAGCACTGAATGACATAAAGTATGACAAATATCTTTATTATTAGAAAACTCTATAAAAATGTAAGCAATTATCGTGATCCTACTCCCTCTTCCTAACCCCTCCTCCAGATCTTGTCCATTTTTTTCCCTTCTTTAAATAAGATGTATGATTTTATCATTATATGGAACCTCTGGTGAATAGCTCCTTTTACCAATACAAGTTAGCACATTCTCTGCATTTTATAATCTTGAAGCATTGCCTGGGGGACTGAGGGGTGATGTGTCATACAGACAGTAGGGGTCAGGAACAGGACTTGAACCCACAAGGCATTAGAGGGTCAGGGACAGGATTTAAACTGACCCAGAGGCCAGTCTTCTATACACAATGCAACACTTTCTTTCTCCAACACATTTTTTTTCATGAGAAATCACATGAACAGCAAGAATCAATCTTATACATTTATTAAAGAATCAGTCTGGCCAGCCATGATGCTGTCCCACTGGCACCCAGGATATTGTGGTTCTTCAGCACCTCCCTTGTTTTTGGATTCGGACGGGAATACCTCTTAATCTGTTGAAGAAATGAAAAGATAGAGCACTGTGAGTCATTACTATTATAAAAATCTAGTCCTTGAAGCAGGAAAGAAAATTCTGCCTAGGAAGTCATTATTAGAACAACGGTGAGATGGAACATTAGGAAGGAACCTTAAAGCACAGAAGGTAAAAGTTGGAAGGAACTTTAGAACAAAGAGCATCAGAAGATTAGCTATTTCATGGATAGCCAGATTTTTTTTGTCAGAAACTTCTTGCTTTGAATCAGCTTCTTGGAAATTTCTGCTCCATGCTTCTTGTTTCTGCCTTTTGGTGCTAAGCAGAACCAAGTGCATTCTTCCCACCTCAACAATCCTTCCCATATTGAAAGGCAATGATTAATATCCCCTCCCTTATACTTTTCTTCCTGCCCTGTTTCATTTTCTGTTCTCTGGATTAAGTCCAGAGCTTTCAAACTTCATCTTATTGGTTCATGTGTTTCTTCTGGATAAGATCAAGTGCAGCTAGGAAGCAATGGTAGATAGAGGTGGAGAGCCTGGAGTCTGGAAGACCCGAGGTCAAATCCAATCTCAGACACTCACCAGCTATATGACCTTATGCAAGTCACTTAATCTCTGTTTGCCTCAGTTTTCTCGTCTTCAAAATGACTAATAATAGCACCTTCCTCCCAAGGCTGTTGCAAAGATCAAATGTTAATTGTAAAGGTTCTAGTCTATAGGAAAATATGTGTTTGAGATATAGGTACATTTTAAAGCTTTGTGTTCTAAGGTCATTTCCAACTCTGACCTTCTGTGTTTTATGAGTTGATGATCATACCTTGGAACCTGGTTGGATTTCTAAAAATCAAAGACACCTTATTTTTGTTTTCCCCCCTAATGCTGATAAAGATGTAAGTTCATGTCAATAACTTAGCCAGACCATGTGAAAATTGCCAAATGATTCCAAGTTTACCTTAGCAAGATTTGTAAATGCATTGAAACCATCAGCCACTTAGAATGTCTCAAGATACCAAACCAGGCCCAGGGAATGGGGGTTCTTCATAATCCCTCACACTGAGAGACCCAAGTGTGGGACCAACCTGGTGTATCAGGCTTGGGTAGTTCCCTACTATCCCAGTTCCCAGTAAGGAGGAGGCCTCTGATGGAAGATAAAGTTAGGGTAAAACTGGAGGATAGTTTGGAAATGTGTCCTATGCAGGGAAGAAATTTAGGTCTTAATCCTCAATCTCAACCTTAGCCCTCAGATTCCATAGTCTCAGCAGGCACAACCCTCCCTTGGCCCTTTCATCAAGTTATTCCCTGGGTAGGGAAGGTCCTCCCCTTTCCTTAAGTTGGTCCAAATCATATTCCTCCTTCAAGTGTCCCCTTCTCCACCTCCCTTGCTCCTCCACAATTCACTGAAGTCTTCCTCCTTTGAACTCCTTTGTTGTTAATGTCCTTCAGTCCTTTCAGTCATGTCCTACTCTTCATGACCCCATTGGGGGTTTTCTTGGCAAAGATACAGATCCTCTTTGAGGACAAAGGATGAACAATAGCAACTGGAGTGGTTTGCCATCTTCTTCTCCAGCTCATTTACAGATGGTAACACTGAGGCAAACAGGGCTAAGTGACTTGCCCAGAGACACACAGCTAGGAAGTGTCTGAGGTCAGATTTAGTAGCCCTTAGGAAAGAGCAGTGAGCTACAAATTGTGAATCAGATGTGCATTATAGCTCTTTTGCTAATGATCTGTGTGACCTTGGGTAGGTAAATTATCTTCCCTGCAATTCAGTTTTCTTTAAAATATAGTAGCTAACTTGCATGGTCTATAAGGTCCCCTCCAGATCTGGTATTCTACATTTTGAGGAGTCTTTCAGATTCTATCTAATTCAATTCAGAAAGCATTTATTAAGCCCCTGCAGTGTGCTAAGCACTAGGAATAAAAAAAACAAACAAACCAGAAATGAAACAATCCTTGCCCTCAAGGAGCTTAATCTATTTGAGTGAAATACAAACTGTATAGTCAATAAACACAAAGTAATTGGTTGGAGGAATGGGGAGAATGACTCAACAACTGCGAGGATTAGGGAAAATCACCTAGTTCATGTAGTAGGTGCTAATTGAAAAAGAGCCTTGTTGGAGCCAGGGAGTCCAAGAGGCAGAGCTGAGGAGGGATGGCATTCCAGGCATAGGGTACTTCCTATGCAAAGGCACAAAGGGAGGAGGTGGAATTTCACATGTAGGGAATAGCAAGTAAGTCAGCTTGGCTGAGATTAAGGGTGCATGAGGGAGAGTAACTAATAACGAATCTATGAGTATACACCATGTTATTTAGCCCTCCTGATTATTTTATTATTTCAAGTGTATGTGTCTGGCATCTCCAGCTAGAATGTTGAGAACCCTTGAAGAAAAGCAATATACCAAATGTTGGCCAGAGAATATGGTGGTAGAGGGAACCAAAGTTTACATCCATGGGTTTTGACTTGGATGCCATGCCCTAACTCTTAGACCCTTAAGCTGTGCATAAGCATCCCCTCTGGGTAACAGGCATTGAGCTACTGATAAGAAGATTGTAGTACACAAACCTCTAGCTCTAGATAGGAGTTCAGGGAAGGGCACTTAAACACCATCTGGTCCAAATTGTCCATTTGACAGAAGAGGAAACCTAGGCTTACAGAGGGGAAGTGACCTGCCCAAGATCATGAAGCAAGTTAGTGGCAGAGTTAGGACTAGGTCCCAAGTTTTCAGGCTCCAAGACCATGTGGATTGTGAAGACCACATGGAATGTGAAGCACAGAACACAAAATGTCCCCCCTTGACCCTCCATATTGTAAAATGGACTCAAGGGAACTCTTTATGAGAGACTCTTCACTATCCACTGTACTCTTCCTTGATGTAATTGTAGTGGTAACCTAATTTACATCATCTGAGCTCCTCTCTCCATCCATTTGGCCCTTCTAATCATGTGGAACTTGTTCACACCTAGACAGGTATATGTAATTAGAGCATCATTGTATAGTAGAAAGAGCACTGGATTAGGTGCTAACAGACCTAGGGTTAAATCCCATTTCTGTATCTTATTACCTGGGAGGCCTTGGGCAAGTCAGCACCCACTCCCTCATGGTCTCTGTGTAATTAAGGTTTTGGACAAGATCAGACTTTTGTTTTGTCTTGTTTTTAAGGTGTAGGAGTGTGTGTGTGTGTGTGTGTGTGTGTGTGTGTGTGAGAGAGAGAGAGAGAGAGAGAGAGAGAGAGAGAGAGAGAGAGAGAATGACAGAGAGAATGACAGAGAGATGGACCTGTTTGGCAGTTTGGTGAAGCCAATTGACTCATTTTCAGTTTGTTGCCTACTTTCATAATTGAAGGAAATGAGAAATTTCAGTCTGAGGTTAGTAAAAATAAAGATGTAATTTTTTATCTCATCCAGGTTCATGGACCTGGTTTTTTCCACTGATCTGTTGGCCGGGGGGCCACCCTGGAGACCCTGGTTAAGAACTCTACTAGATGACTAGAAGACCTCTAAGTTCTTCTTAAGTTCCCAGTCCTAGGGAGTGAGTGCATTGAGCTTTTAAATGTTCTCTCTAAAGAAAGTCATGGTGATACTTACTTATTTTCCTGACACAGCATGCATTCATTGCTGTAAGTCATTCCATCAGTGCCACAGACAGGGCTATATTCTTTGGTGCATCCTGGTTTGGAATAGCAGACAGGCTAGAAGAGTAATAAAACAGATTGATTCTCCTACTATATCACAGACACCCAAATACTCAGAGCTTCAGAACTGGGAGGGGTCTATACCAATCATTCAGTCAGTAAACATTTATTAATCACTTATTATGTTCCAGCCACCATACTCAGTACTGAAGACTCAAAGAAAAGTAAAAGACAGTCCCTGTTATCAAGAGGTAGGGAGAAAAGACTGCCTGTTGATAGCAAGACAACATACAAACAATTATATACAGCTAGGTGGCACACTGGATAGAGTGCCAGACCTGCAGTCAGGAAGACTTGAGTTCAAATCCAACCTCTGATACATACTAGCTGTGTAACCCTGGGCAAGTCACTTAACTCTGCCTCAGTTTCTTCATCGATAAAATGAGCTGGAAAAGGAAAGAGCAAACCACTACCAATATCTTTGCCAAGAAAACCCCAAAAGGGGGTCACAAAGAGTTGGACATTACTCAAAATGACTCAACAATGTGACCGAAAATGACTCAACAACAACAAAAAATATAGACTACATATAGGATAAATTGGAAATCATCAACAGAGGGAAGGCACCAGAATTAAGGGGGATTGGGAGAGGCTTCCTGTAGAAGATGGGATTTTAGCTGGCACCAGTACTTAACAGGGATTCCCCTCTCCAATGTATCTGACAAAAAATCATCCAGCCTTGGCTTGAATACCTCTACTGTGCTTGTGGATTCCTTTAGGAAAGAACATTCACTCACACAAGGCTGCCATGAAGAATCTGTTGTGGAGCTTCTCTGACCATAGATGACCACCATGGTTAGGTCAGTATAGCTCCTTGCCTATGAGATGTTTCCTGTGGAGCAACACCTTCAAACTGGTCTAGCTGGTGTTCCCCAAGCTCTACATTCCATCTCCTAGAACCTCCGTATCTGTGCAGAGGCTGCTCCCAGGGCCTGAAATGTCCTCCTTTCTCACTCTATTTGGCATCACTACCTCCCTTCATGGCTCAACTCAAATAGGATCTTCCATATGAGGCCCCTCATCTTCCTGAAGTTACTTTGTATTTACTTTGAATGGATTCTGGAGTTACTTTCCTGACCCTTTTTTAGGGATGGGGGTGGGAGGGACTTGTGATTTCATTGGTACATGGAATTCTTGGTGAGGAAATATCCTTTATCCTTGCAGATCTGTAACTGTTCTGTAATAATTAATTATGACCTTAGTTTCCTGGGGTTGTCTGAAGGTTATGACTTACTCAGAGTCACATAGACAGTAGGGGACAGATATAGGGCTCTAACCCAGGTCTTCCTAACTAGAAGTATGTTTAGAATATAAAACACAGAATGTCAGAGCATAGAACACAGTGGATTAGAACTGTAAGGGAGAATATAGAACATGTCATGTGAAGCACAGAACACAAAATGTCAGAGATAGAATGATCTCAGACACAGAACACAGAATGTGAGAACACAGAACACAATAGATAAAGCTGGAAGGGAGCTCAGAACATAGGACATGCAATGTCAGAGCATAGAACAGAAAATGTCAGAGCTGGAAGGGATCTCAGAACATAGAACACATAGATCCAGAGATCATTTTGTCCCATCTCTTCATTTAATTGTGAAGAAAGCTGAGGTCCAGAAAGAGGAAGTAACTTTTGATCTTAGTTAAAAGACTGGTGTCATTCTGGTGCTGAATGTCATTAGGTGCTGAATGCTGAATGGATTGTGAGAATCAATGGTCCCTTCACCATGGCACAGGAGATGTGTTAAAATGATAAAGTAGAAGCTCTTCTTACATCTTGGACTTCAGCTCGTGCAGTATCTAGGAAACAAATTTTTAAAAGGTTAGGTTTGCCTTGTCTGTAAGACAAATACTTTGGGGGTGGGGGAAGGAGAATAAGGGAGCCAGAGGAATCCAGATTACAGCCACAGCCTCTCCACCCACCCCTTTGTGTCTCTGCAGCATGATGGATTATCACACTGGTCTTCCCATAAACTCCAGTCCCCTGAAATGTGGCAGAATTAGACAAAAGTCCAGTCAGCTGAACAAAGATACAGGTATTTTTTGATCCATTATTTCACTTACAAATCCTTGGCTCTGGGAATCAGGACACCTGGGGCTTAGTCCTTACTGTGCTAGTCAATCACTGTGTGACCTTGGACCAGTCTCTTTCTGTCACTGCATTTCACTTTGCTTTCAGTTAAACTAGATAATCTAAGTGTTCCCTTCCAGTTCTGTCACTTCATGTTTCAGGATCAAAGGTGACTGTCAGCTCTAACAGTCTATGTTCTATATCCTATGTTCTATATTATTCTTCTTTTAAGTTAATGAAGTTTATTGAGATTCTATAATGTTGGGGAAGCTGGAGTGGGGTACAAAGATAAATAAGACAAGAGACCTTCCCATGAGAAAAGGTAGAAATACAGATAAATATAAGGCAATGCAAAATCTGATAAGTACTGTGGGAAAGGCCAAGACTTCTTGGAGGAATGTGGTTTTGGAACAGGTAGACATAGGAAGGCAGGGTATTTCAAGCAAAGAAGATTGAGCAGTCAGAAAAATGAGAGCATGCTTGGTGTCTTTGGATAATCACCACTCTCTTAAAGATTACTAATAATCTCCTGACTACTAAGTTCAATGACCTTTTCTCAGTTCTTATCTTTGATCCTTGATCTTTCTGAAACTTTCAACCTTGTTGACCATTCTAATATCTCAAGCATTCTCTCCTCTCTGGGTTTCCATGGCATTTCTCTCTCCTGGTTTTCCTCCTTCTTGTGTGACAGCTCCATCACAATCTGCTTTGTTGCCTCATTATACATATTCTGAACCCTTTGAGTGAGTATACTCCAGCGCTTTGTCTTGGGCTCTCTTCTCTCTCAACATTCTCTCTCTTAGTGACTTGATCATCTCCCATAGGTTCAATGTCATCTCTTTCTCTTTTCTGAGCTCTAATTCTACATCATGGACTGTCCATTGGACACCCAATTCTGGAAGTTCCATAGACATCCTCAGTCTTAACACTTTCAAAATGAAAATTCATCATGTTCTCTCCAAAACCTATCCTCCCTCCTACTATCCCTATTTCTATCAAGGGCACCACCACACTTTGAAGCATCTAGATTTGCAACCTGAGAGCCATCCTAGACCTTTTTTTAAACCATTAATTTGATCTATATAATTAAATAGTTTGCTTTCTTTGCGTGATCATAAATATTCATAATTAGGCCACTGGTTACACTCTTAGGGAGTGACTTGAGCAAGTCTATCCTACACAAAAATGTGATGTAACATCACCTTTCACCATCTCTTCTTGGGGCTCACTTTCAATTTTATTGATGCAATAACTTCATCTGAAAGTGCAGGGAACATATTACATATGGAGCATCTCCCCCCACCCACTTTTCTAATAAAAAAATGAATAGAAATCTAATATTTCTTCTTCACATCCCCTTATTGGTAAAAAAAAAATGAAAAAAATGTAATAAATATGAATAGTCAAGCAAAACAAATTCCCCCAATGACTGTCCATAAGAATATATGTCTTATTCCATACCCTAAATCCATCAACTCTATGTAATGATTGGCATGTTTCATCATCTCAAGGGCCCATCTACCTCTGACATTCTCTATATCTGTTACCAAGTGAGTAAAATACATAATTCTGAAAGATTGTTTTTCCTCCCCCTTTCTAGATGACTTGTAAAATGAGCTACATCTTAATCAGACTCTTTGCATGTTCTCAGTCTTGGTCCCCTCCTCTCAGATTTAAGAACTGGAAAGATTTCTCCATTTTGAGCTATAAGTTTCAGTCTTGTCTCTGCCAGTCACTCTTTTGTGGGAGATTGGAAGAGTCACTTCTCTCTGACACTGTTTCCTAATTTATGCAATAGTAATAATGATACTTATGCTACCTGCTTTGTAAATAAAATGCTTTGCAAATAATAACATTCCTTTATAGGATCATAGGCATAGAGCTGGAAAGGACCTCAGAGTCATCTAGACTAACCCGCTGATTTAGTGGATGAGGAAACTGAGACCCAAGATTATACAAGTAGTAAATGGAAGATTTGAACCCCAGTCCTCTTATCTAAATCTGAATTATTGTTCTTGGCTGTCTTCACTAAAACCTTCTTCTGTTGACTCATCAAGGCATGAAATAACAATTGAAGTTCTTGAAGGCTATGTTAGGAGAGCACAAACGTTGGGAGGTGCTTTCAAACTAGTAATGCTGTAATCTCAGAAGGTATGTTTGTGGTCTGAGCAATCAGCCTAGCTAGTTGTGGAAATGCTTATCACTAAAGGGATGGTTCTTAGACAAATATTTTGGCCATAGTGACTCATGAAACAGTCTAGTAAGGTGTTGGTTGGTTGGTGGAGGGAAGGATAAGGCAGCAAATTTGCTTTAGAGAAGAGAGAATCCATATGAAAGCAATCTAAGGTCTCTAGAAATCTTAATTATCATCTGAGCTTTGCTGACAGTTGTTTTCCTTTGTAAGAAAATCACCTTTCCATCTGGCTTATTGTGTTTCTCAAAAGTTTGAAAAGGATTCCCAGAAAAGGTAGCTCATCTGGGAGAAAAATAACCCTAATTCCCGGATAGATTAGGAGTAATCCAAAGTCCTTGTCATTCCCTATCCACCAGAAGTAGGGTTGAAATACTTAAAAAGCAGAGCATTTGGTGGAAGAAGACCCAGGCTTCAGTCATGGGTCTATCCTCAGCTGTATGAGCTGGGAGCAGTTACTGCTCTGTTCTGGACTTGAGCTTGCCCATTTGCAAAATGGACATAGCAACCTTTGTTCTATTTGTTTCAAAGGGGCTGGGATGGGACACTAATTAGGATGTAGGTCCAAAAGTGATTGAGAAAGCATAAAGTGCTGAATGAATACAAAGTATGCTTATCATTTAACAAGTATTTTTTCTGATATACTTTTCTTGAGTGTGGATAACTTGGAAAACAGGTCGGGGTAGCTAAAAACAGACTGGAGCTAGAACTAGAGACCTAGGGTTGAATTTTCCTCTGGAACTGACTAGCTGTGTGGTCTTGAGCAAGTCACTTTTTTTTTCTCCTAAGGCTCAGTTTCCTCTTTTGTAAAATGGGGAAAATAACTATCTCACAGGGTTGTTCAATTAATCAATAAGTATTTCTAAAGTGCCTATCATATGTTAGGAGCTATTTTAAATACTGCAGATACAAAGACAAGCTGTCTGTTCTCCCAAAGAACTTGTGTTCAAAAAGGGAACACAATGTATACATACAGAGGTATATAAAGGACACATAAATCAGACACAGTGTAACTTAGCATGGGAAGGCACTAATTGCTGGGGAGATCAGGACAGACTTCAGCAGAAGTTGAATGAGTCTTGAAGGAAAGCAGGGATTCCAAAAGATAGTAGTGAGGGAGAGCATTGTAGGCACAGTGAACAGCCAGTGCAAAGGGATGGAAACAGGAGATGCAATGTGTGGTGTGAGAAGAGTCCAAGAGTCCAATGTGGCTGGATTGTAGAGCATATAGAGGGGAGTGATGTGGAGATTGGAGAAGCAAGGAGGGGCCAACCTGTGAAGAGCTACAGAGGATAGGCAAAGGAATCTTATATTTGACCCTAGAGATAACAGAAAACCACTGGAGCTTTGAAAACTACTTGAGTAGAGGAATGACATGGTTAGACCTGTGCTTTAGGGAAACCATTTCAGCAACTGGGTGGGGGAAGGACTGGAGAGATGAGAGACTGGAGACCAAGAGGAGGATCAAATATTGCAGTGGTCAAGGCTGAAAGGGGATAAGGCTTTAAATGAGGGTGGTGACTCTGTAAGTGCAGAGCAAGGTATGGGGTCCCTGTTGGGGAAAAGTCATAAATACACAGCAAGAAGTGAAAAGCCATTAACTTGAACTCTGTGAAAGGTGGAAGCCTGTACATGGTGACCTATAAAAAATCCTAACTTAGATACTGAATCATAATTTAGATACTTAGATATTGTGACTGATGAAAGCCATAACACGGACACAGTGACCAGCTCGTGTCCAGTACATGACCAGTACACAATCCTGCATTTGGTCATTTAACCATCAACATTGGCTTAAAATCCAAGCTTGGAAATGAGTTCATTACTAAGCAGCAATCCAAAATATCCACCAATCAGTAGTGATGTACTCTATAGCTCCACCTCCCTTTGTTTGATTTGTATAATTAGGACTGGGCTTTCTTGGGATCCACCCTGTGATCTGGCCACTGCCCCAGGACTGAAGATTGTTAACTCTTGGCAGGGATCCATCATTCTACTCCTTCAACTACTACCTATAATCAATCTGGAGTTCCTTGGCCTCTTCATTTGGTACCAAACTTGTCCCACTGTTTGGGGGATAGGGGTGTGGAGATGCAGGATTCTCTAGGTAGGAGGTTCTCTGGATCTTACACAAGGGATGTTTTGGAAATAGAAATGACAAAATTTGGTATTGGATATATAAGTTTAGCAAGACCAAAAAGTTGAATGCCACACCACACCTGTGAATTTAGATAACTAAATGGGTTTAGGATGGTGATGTTTTTTGACAGTTATAGGGATATTTGGAAGGATGATGTGTTTTGGGGAAAAGATACTTTCTTTGGACATCCTGAATTTCTGGAATATCCATTTTGAAAAACCAATAGGCAGTTGGTGATATATAACTGGAGCTCAAGAGAGTCAGGGCTAGATATGTAGATCTCTAGTCATCTACTCTTAGTTGATTGTTGAATATACAAGGACTGAAAATGTGACCATGTGAGGGAATATAGGGAGAAAAGAGAAGAGAGCCAATGCCAGAATCTTGGGGATAAGCTCAGAGTTGGCAGGTACACCATTGACATGACACCCTTACATCTTTTAAAGATGAACTGTAGTAGACTAGTCACACTCTCATCTTGCACTTGTGAGATTGATTTTTTGAACCCAAGTGTAAAATTTTACTTTTATGCTTCTTAAAATTTTATATCATTAAATTTGACTTACTGTTCTAGCCTGTCAACATCTTTTTAAATCCTGTCCCTCAGTGTATGCTTGCTCTCCCTCCTGGCTTTTTTGTCACCTGAAAATTTGACAAGTATGCCATTTTTGTCTCTATCGAAGTCATTGATAAATTATCAACCAGTGAAGATAAAGCACAGTTCCCTAGAGCCCCCCCACTAGGGACCTCTTTCCACGTGAGTTGATATCCAAGCAGGAATGATTGGAATGGTGTGATGCAATTTGGAGTCAAAGGACCCATCTTCAAATTGTGGCTCTGCCATTTGCTACTTTTATGATGGGCTACAGGTCATTTAGCTCTCTAGCCCTGTGCCCTTCCCTTTATTCATCTGTAAAATGAAGGCATTAGATCAAAGACCTCCAATGTCTCTTCTAGCTCCAAATCTTTGATCCTGTGACTTTTCTTTGACTCTCTCCATTAAAACAGCTCTGAAGCCACTTCCTCCCCCTCTTGTGTGACTTGTGACTCCCTGTCTTGTCTGCAAGAATAGCATGAGTTCCTTTGTCAAACACTGTTCTATATTCTAAGGCAGTCTGTATTGCAGTAGTTTACTGACCTCACCAGGTTAATTGCCCTGTTGAAAAAGGGGATGCATGCTAGGCATGTCCTGTTCTTGATGCATCTCTGCTAGTTCTTTGTGATCATAGATTTCCATTGTCCATAAGGAATTAGACTTGTTTGGGTTGGCCCCAGAGAGTAGAATGGTGTAGGGGATAGGTATAGGGTAACTGTTTGGGCTCAATATAAGAGCTTTCTAATAAGAAAATCTGTCCCCCAAAATGGAATGACAACATTGGGAAACAATGAGCTTCTTGTCATTGGCATTTCTGAAGCAGAGATTGAGTAATTCCTTCCTGGGATATCTGCAGAAGGGACTTTTGGCCTGGGAGAGAGGATGGGCTCAATGTACTGCAAATTTGTTCTATGGAGTGGGGTTTAGACTTGTGATTTCATCTGTGGAGGGAGCTTTCACTAAATATACTCCCTCAGCTCATCCAGGACCTTACCTGCTCTAAAGCTACAGTACTAGAGAGTGCCCTGACATTCTAACAGTCAGGAAGATCTGGATTCAAATCTCCCCTAGACACTTAGCACCCAGGCAAATCACATAACCTCCTCGGGCCTCATTTTTCTCATCTATGAAAATGAGGAAGGTAGGACTTTATGATTTCTAACATCCCCTGATGATACCATGGTTACATAATGACCTGTGGATATTAGAATTCTGTTAGAATCCTTGCTGGAAGCTAACAATTGAAGTGGTCCTTTAGTATGGATAAAAGCCCTGTCCTCACAACAATCACATGAAATAAGTAGACTGATGATTATTATTCCCAAGTTATGGATCAGGCAACTGAGGCTCAGAGGGATGAACTAAGTTGCTCATTGTCTCATAGCTAACAATCAGAGCCAAGAACCCAAGTCTGGTATCCAGACCTTAATTTGAGAGCTCTTTTCACTGCATCTCAGCTCATTCTTACATCTGTCCTCAAACAACACAAGTAATAAACCATGGATGCAAAGGTATTGGTTTGGGGATCAGGAGATCTGGGTCCACATCCTGACCCAGTCACTCCCTGTAAGACCCTGAGTGATTCACTTAACTCGACTTTCTCCTGTGTAAAATAAATGGAACAATCGCTAAGACACTTATAGGGTTTTTAGGATCAAATGAAATCATGAAAACAACAATAGCAAATCATAGGTAGCATTTGCATAATACTTTAAGGCTTTCAAAGCTCTTTACATATTTGTCTCTATATCTTCATGAAATCCTTGTGAGTTAGGTGTTATTATTATCCCCATTTTACAGATAAGGAAACTGGTTGGGTGACATTGAAGTGATTATCATGATATCACAGAGCTAGTGAGTGTTTGAGGAAAGATTTGAACTCAGGTCTTCCTGAATCCAAGAGTGCCACCTAGTTGTTTCTGTCTCTCTGTGTGTGTCTGTCTGTCTTCCTGCCTCTGCCTCTGTCTCTCTATCTCACTTTTTCCATAAACGTAAGTCAAAATTCTCATGTAACCTGCTATCTAACATAGGAATCTTGTCTATGATATCCCTATCAATGCCCTTTATCTATAACCCAAATCCGGGTCCTCAGAGGTGCAGTCTGTATTCTGGGTCTTATAACCTGGAGACCTAGGTTCAGAGGTGGGCTCTCCCACCTCCTAGTTGTGTTCCCAGTTCACCTATCTAGTGTCTATTTTCTCCTTTGTAAAACAGGGATAATAAAACTCTTGTTCCCTCCCACACAGCATGTTGTGGAGAAATCTTCTAGCCTCAGGCACTCTCTTAACGCATCTGTTTCACCAGCTTTGAGTCCCTATATTTTAACCTTTAAAAACTCCCATGAGAGTGCAGCTAGAGTCAAATTGGGCTCTGGATGAAGGGCTGTCTGAGGGCTACTGGCCCTAATGTGAGAGTGGTGTGCCCAAGGAGAAACTTACCCAGCAAGAAGCACAGAACCAGTGACAGTAGCAGGACGATGCCAAGAGGCCTCATGATCAGACTTCTTTACCTCTAGTTGAAGCTGAAACTGAAAGATTCCAATGAAAGCTAGCAGGTGTCCTGAGTTCACAGGAGCCTGGGAGGCTGCCTTATATAGAGGCCATGGGCTCCACCTGCTGAATTACATCATGTTCTCAGGTGATCTGCAGCCACACTCCAGCCCTAACCAGACCTCTTCCCTCTTGCCTAACTTGCCTAGAGATGGACTCTGTCCTGGGCCAGTCAGTTCTACCTGGCCTGCTCCCACCCAACCCCCAACTTCTGTTCTCTCTGTGTGTACCTAGGGCTATGGGTGACTGTGAAAAATGAGAGTTAAGTTTACACCTAAGTAGATAAGAAATCAGCAGATAGGCTAACTTCTCTGTCCAGGTGGGTGAGTGATAACACAATTCTAGGCACATAATGTGTGTAAGGGGGTGGGGCATATAAGGAGGATTGTAACCCAGAAGGATTAGGACCAATCCTGATCCAAAAGGGAGGAGTTAGGCAATTACTAATTATGAAGATTGCTTTGGCTTCTTTCACCTCTAGCATTTTCTCTCCTTCCAAGGAGGTGCGCCCACTTCTCAAGATAATCGAAATGATGCACTTCAACCTCCTTAATTAAAAAGTCTATGAGACACCAGTCTTTGGAACTGAGTCTGGGGTCATCTTTATAACAGTGACTTACCTCCTAGTCCATCACTCCTATTATCTAGTGAGTAAATATGTTTATGTCCTCCCCCTCAGCCCCCAACCTTTCCCTCCTTCAGCCTTGTGTATCCTCTTCTCCAAGTCTCCCTTTTGTGTTTGTGCTCCTGGTTTCTGTCCTTTGTGTCTGTGTCTCCATTCAGTCTTCCTCCTGTATGTGTTTGTGTGTGTTCTTAGAATCTCACCTGGGTGGTTTGTGTTCTGTAGACTCCCTCATTCTTGCGCCCATTCACTAGGCTCCCATCCTTTGTGTGTGTGTTTGTTAGTGTGTGTGTGTTGTGTGTATTTGTATTTGTGTGTATATGTGTGTGTGTGTGTGTGTGTATGTGTATGTGATATTTACTTGAAGTAGATAGAGAACTGGTCTTGGAGTCAAGAAGACTCAACTTTAAATGGCATTCCTAGCTCTGTGACCTTGGGTAAGCAACTTATCTTCTGTTTGCCTCAATTTACTCAACTTTAAAATAAGAATAATAATAGCACCTACCTCCCAGGGTTGTTGTGAAATAGTGATTGTAAAGCAATTAGCAGAGTGCCTGGCCCATAGAAAGCTCTATATAAATGTTAGCTATTATTATTATTATTTTCTAGACTTAAGGTATTTGTATATGTATTCTCTCCCTGCCTCCTCTTCCCCAAACCAGTTGTTAAACATTTGCCAGCATGTCCCTGGTTGCAGGCCCCAGCGCTAGAGGAATGAGTATTCTGAATCTTCTCTAAATCAGCTTGTTTCATAGAACTTTAGAACTAGAAAGTGTATTAGAGACCATTTAGTCTTGTTTTAGGGCAGCTAGGTAGGGCAGAGGATAGAGTGCAAGGCCTGAATACCAGAAGACTCATCTTTGAGTTCCAATCCAGCTTCAGACACTTACTAGTTGTGTGACCCTGGGCAAGTCAATTGCCTCAGTTTCCTCATCTATAAAATGAGCTGGAGAAGGAAACAGCAAACCACTCCAGTATCTTTGCAAAGAAAACCCCAAATGAGATCACAAAGAGTCAGATACAACTGAAATAACAAAACAATTTTGTTTTGTACTCATTTTACAGGTGATACCACCAAAGCAGAAAGAGAAGTCATCTAATTGTCATACCATTGAATCTCAGACTTGAAGGGAATTTCAGAGGCCTCTAGTCCAACCTTTACCTGAGCAGGAGTCCTTTCTACAGGACCCCTGAATGGTGCTCAGAGGATCCTTTGCTTCAAGAATTCTGTTTACCTGCTGATGCAGCTCATGATACTTTGGAATGACTCTCAATGCTAGGAAGTTTCTCCTTTAAGGGAGCTGAAATCTGCCTTTCTGAAATTGCTACCCAGTTTTCCTATTCCCCTGCTTCTGCTTGGGACTAAATAGAACAGGTCCCCCTCAATCAGCCACTTCTAATAGCCTTTCAGATGTTTGGAGATAGTGACCATGTTCCATCTGGAGTTTCTCTTCTATAGGCTCAACGTTCTCACTTCTTTCAATAGCACTTCACAGGGCATGGGCTCCAAACTTCCCAGTATCCTCAGGGACTTACCCTGGGTACACTTCAGGTTGTCAAAGTTCTTCCTGCAGTATGTTGACCCACCAGAGCAGGGAACAGCAAAGCTATCAATACTCTCATTTTGGATCCCATAGTTCCATTAATGCTGCCTAAGGATATATTGGCACGTTGGGCAAGAAAAAGAGTTCAGGATTCAATCTGCCATGAGATCCTAGCTTTATTCTCCTAAGTTCAAGTCACATGAAACTTGAACTTGGAGAGAGAATGGAGGGTCATGGTGGTGATATGGAAGCCAGTTGTTCATCTGGTGATGCTTACTTCCTGTGGCTAAGGTTTGAATGGTAGGGAAAAAGGAGGAATCAGGAGAAGTTGATTGCCCTGGCCCTACTCCCTGCATCTTGTACCTTGGAGACAAGGCCTAGAACATTAGAGATTCACTTTTCTTTCTCCCCCCCCCCCCCCCCAGCTTAACAGGTTAGATCAGAATAGGTATTCTTTATACAGAAGGCCATGTCACCTCTCCATCAAATGAAGAAAGGAAAGAAGGAAGAAAGAAGGAGGAAAGGAAGGGAGGAATGAGAGAAGGAAGGAAGGAAGAACACAAGCATTTATTAACTATCTACTATGTACCAGTCACTGTGCTAAGTGCTTTATAAATATTATTTCATTTGATCCTCAGAACAATCCTAAGAGGAAGGTGCCATTATTATCCCCATTTTACCTTGTCATGAGATTGAGGCAAATAGAAATTAAGTGTTTTACCCAAGATCACATAGCTGCTAAGTGTCTGAGGTTGGATTTGAATTCAGGTCTTCCTGAATTCTAGACCCATTACTCTATCCATTGTACCACTTATAGAGAACTGCTGCTGAATAGGTGAAAAGTCCTAGAACATAAAATGTCAGACCTAAGCACTCTAGACTAGAGATGATGTAATATTATAGCTGAAATATTCCATTCAGCCACCAAAGTTATTTTGCTAAAGCTCAGGTCTGACTAGGTCATTCTCAACAAACTCCAGTAGCTCCCTATCAACATCAGGCTCAATTATGAATGTTTTGTTTGACATTCAAAGCCCTTCATAACCAAGCCCCCTCCTACCTTTCCAATCTTCTTACACCTCACTTTCTGAGACATACTCTTTCAGTGACACTGGTCTCCTGGCTGTTCCACAAACAAGGCACTCCATCACTTGGTTCTGGGCATTTCTCTGACTGTCCCCCAAGCCCAGAACACTCTCCTTCTCATCTCCATCACCTGGCTTCCCTAGCTTCCTTCAAATTCCAACTAACATCTTATCTTCTATAGAAGCCTTTCCCAACCCCTCTTAATTCTGATGCCTTCCTTCTTTTAATTATTTCTTATTTATCCTATGTATAGCTTACTTATAGATATTTATTTGCTTATTGTCTCTCCTATTAGATTGTAAGCTCTTTGAGGGCAAGGACTGTCTTTTCCCTCTTTTTGTGTCCTCAGTGTTTAGCACAGTACCTGGCACATAATAGGAGCTTAATAAGTGCTTATGTTCAGTATGTTCATGCTTATGTTCAGTTATAAGAATAAGTGACTTTAGAATATAGAACCTATAATGTCAGAGCTGGAAGGAACCTCACAATATAGAACCCAACCTGGAGAACATTTAGTCCAAACGGCTATCACCAAAGAGAAAATTGTGACTCTGAAAAGTTAAGGGAGGAAGCACAAAGTCGAAGAAGATGTGTTTGTGAGTTGAGTTGCTTAAATGGTTGTCCTTGAAGTTTAGGGGTACTGGGACCCCAAAGTCACAACACATGGGTCCTTCTGGAAAGAATTCAACCCAAGCCTTCTTTCAGCCAAAGACAAGGGCAGACTCTTAAGGAGTCTGAACATTAGTGAGCTATTGGCTAGATTATAAGAATCTGAGCACCTTAATGGAGACAAGAAGGACCTTATATATACAGAAAAAGATTGTGGGAGAAATCTAGGAGTGGCCAAGTAGTTTGGAGATGGGCTGAGGACTGTGAGGTAATAAGAATGCAAGGGGCCTGGACCATATAGACAAGGGAAAATAGGATTAAGGGTGGGAAGTGGCCTGGGGCCATAGGGAGGTAAGATAATGGGGGGCCAGGCTAGGTTAAGGATAACAGAATTGGGAGATTGAGCTGTAGCCACAATGAAAGGCCAGTTGATGGGATTATAGCCCCAGGTGAATGCGAGAGATTTGGCCACATGGGAAAGTCCAGAATTTTTCCTTTTGGAGTCTAGATCCCATCCTCATTAGCTTCATGGTAAGTCATTTCTTTCTGGGCCTCAGTTTTTCCGTTTGTAAAATGTAGAGTTTGAGCAACATTCACACTAAATCTGACTATAGAAACTCCTGCAAGAATAGGTATTGTCTCAGGAAGTGGGATGAAAGACCTCTTGAACACCTTGCTGTTTTGGTTGCCATTTCCAGGCTATGTTAACAGCTGCTGACCCAAGCTTCCTTTGTCTCTACCCCTTAGAGCAGGACTTCAGGGCAAATGGAGGAAAATGTAGGTCAGTTTATTCTTACTGCAATAACTCTGAGTATCTATGATATCAGTCTAACTTTTTCCTGTTTAGTAGCCTGTGTATGCTTCTTCCATGAGAACCCTGGAACTCACCATGACCTTACAGCTGGAATGAGGGCTGAGACTCTTTCCCAGAATCAGCAAAGCCTTGAGAGATCTTTGTATTTCCATGTTCCCTGGCATTTTGTAGCTGCTCCTAAAAGAAGACAAAGTGTGGAACTGATGGGGTTGGAATCTGGGCCCCAGAAAGGAAAAACCCTGGACTTTCCCACATGGCCAAATCTCTGGCATTCCCCTGAGGCTATAATCCCATCAACTGA